TACGTGCCAGATATACTAAATAGAATCCTAAAAATAAATAAATAAATGTATAATATTCCTTGACCAGCAGCTTCCTTCCTTTACTGGGTCTCCTTATTGGGGCTCCTATTGCCCCTGATCAGCCAAGATGGTTTCTGAAGAGTAATAGCTCACCAGTCCAGTGAGCCAAGAAGAAACTCTAAGTGCAGTACTTCAAACCACTTTTGTTTATTAAAAAAAGTTAAGAGTAACACTCACATTCTAAGCAGTCCTCCCTCCTCACTGATGTGTGGGTACACTGCATGTGAATGGGACTTCCTGGGTGTAGCAAAATGGCGTCGCACGCCGGAAGTGCGTCACCACACACCCGAACTACGGACTCGCGAACCTACGCGTTACGTCACCGTCTGCTCGTGACTTCCTCGGGGTATCGCATTACGAGCGCAGTCCCTCCCTTTATACCGGACCTAATGGTTAGCCTCAGTAGCGGCCCGCCCCACATGTATTCAGCGGTACCCGCGCCATTTTCTTGGAGGCATCTCCCATTCTAACCGCGGCCATTTTTTTGGTGCCTTTTCTCATTTAACATGTCATTAATTATGGCATAAAAATGAATAGGGAGATCTCTAAATCCACGGACACACAACAAAAAAAGCCACACTATGGGAGTCATTACCTAAAAAATCGGGGAATCCTAGAGCGTAAAGCTAATTATTTATATAATTAAAAAATATTAAAAAAAACTTTATTAAACTTTTTAAAAATATATATATATTGAATCCCTCAAAACATAAATAGTATTTATTTTAAAAAATATATATATATAAGTATATTACTCAAAAAACATATATATATTTTCACACCTATTCTCAGAAAAACTGGGGGATGGCCCGAGGGAATACCATATTATATACTTCACACTCTTACTGGTAAAAGATAAAAAATAAAAATAAAAGTAAAATAAAAATAATAAAAATATTGGAAACCTACATAAAAAATATATAATAACAAATTTAAAAAAATCTTAAAACCCCTTCTCATCATGTAATCTACCCACACATTTACATGGTTCCATATTGCAATATTACATACTGTATGACTGCGGCAATATCCAAACAGAATAATTTAATATCATTCACATAAAATGTAATATGGATATAATAAAATAAAATAATTCTTGCCATCTCCTATGAGTACCGATTGTATTTTTAATATAATAATAATAATATACATAATCTAAATATTTGCTTCTGATAAAATTTGGTAAATAGAAAAATTCTTCCCATTACAAATACATAACTACCTCAATAATCACTGATAAAACAATTAAATCGAACTCAACGTTTAACCCTTTGGGGACCTGTGTATTCATATAATAGATCCACCTGGACTCAGCCTGGCTCAGGGATTTTATTTTATTAGTCCCCCTCCAGTGTTTCTTAAATTTCTCAATCCCCCAAAATTTCATTTTACTGGGGTCCTTGTTATGGTACATGGCAAAGTGTCTCGAAACACTGTGTTTAGGGAACCCTTTATAAATATTTTGTACATGCTCACTGAGCCTTTTCCAAAGTGGCCTCTTTGTTCTGCCTATGTACTGGAGCCCGCATTCACACTCCAGACAGTACACAACTCCCTCAGTTTTGCAAGATATGAAGTCATTAATCTGATATTCCTGGCCAGTGTTAGTAGCAATAAAACTTCCCCGTCTTTTATTTTGCCGTTTTGTCGCTAGACATGTATAACAATTTCTACATGGGTGAAATCCCTTCTCATTCAGGAAAGTAATATGATTTTTTATGGGAGGGTCTAATACATTCTTAACCACCTTCGTTCTAATCGTGGGAGCTCTTCTATAAATAAATCTAGGGAATTCAGGTAATAATCTCCCTATAACCGGGTCCAACTTTAGGATTTCCCAATGTCTTCTATAGATAGTTTCTATCTTTTTATAATGTACATTGAAGTCTAGAACGACCGCAGTTTGTGCATCAAACTGTTTATCCTTAACACTATCTTCAAGGAAATTTTTCCTATCCATACTACCCACTTCCTTTATTTTTTGTTTTATTTCCTCTAACAGGTAACCTTTTTCGACAAATCTTGATCCCAATAATTCAGCTTGTTCATAATAATCCTGTTCATGAGTACAGTTCCTTCTCATTCTAACGAACTGCCCTTTCGGGATATTGAATATCCAAGGTGGGTAATGGCAACTCCCCCTAGGGATATACCCATTGCGGTCAACCTTTTTTAAAGTGAGTTTTAGTTATAATATTACCATTATTAATACTAATGTTTAGGTCCAAAAAATTAATTTCTTCTTTGCTAGACTCCCATGTAAATTTAATATTTTTATCATTAACGTTGAGTTTATCAAGAAACAATAACAAGGCGGTCAGCTCTCCCTTCCAAATGATGATCACATCATCAATGTACCTTCTATAAACTTTCAACTCCTCTGGGTAATCCTGATATAAATCTTTACTTTCCCAATGTCCCATGAATATATTTGCCACACTCGGCGCAAATCTCGCGCCCATCGCTACTCCTTTTATCTGTTTATAATACTTATCATTATGCCAGAAATAGTTGTGGCTCAGGCAAAACTTCAAACAATCCAATAAAAATCTCCTCTGAGTCCAGGGTAGATCACTACATGTTCTACCGCTTCCATTGCATCATCATGGCTTATTATAGTGTATAGTGAGGAAACATCCACACTAGCCAGAATAACCTCTTCTCCTCCTTTGAATTCATCCAATATCCGTATAAGTTGCTTTGTGTCTCTCAGGTATGACCTCATTTGTTTTACCACTGGTTGTAGGAACTCATCAATGTACTGTCCCATTCTAGCCAGTACAGATTCTATGCCATTTACTATAGGCCTCCCTGGTGGATTTTTCTCATCTTTATGCAAATGGGGACAGTGTATATAACCTGTACTCTACATGTATCTGGTATCAGGTATCTAGCTTCTTTTTTAGTTAAAATGTTTTTCTCCATTCCCCTTTTAACCAATACTTCTAATTCTTTTTTATACTGTGCCGTAGGGTCTTTTTTCAGAATATGATAGGTATGGATATCCTTCAGTTGAGTGGCTAGCTCACTTAAATATTGTTCTTTTGACAAGATCACAATCCCCCCTCCCTTGTCCGCTGGTCTAATAACTAAATCGTCCCTCTTTTTTAATCTCTTAATACCTACTTCCATACCAATATTCTTTTTTGTCTTGGGGATAACCAATTTCTCTAAATCATTAGTAACCATTTTCTTAAATGCATCTGTTTGACAATTATTTGAAATCTGAGGGTTGAATAGTGATTTTTTTTTAAAATTCGTGTGGGTAATACTACTAATGGGGGCATTACTTAAAAAATTCTTAGCCCCTGGTTGCCCTAAAAAATATTTTTTTAATATTAAGTTTCCTGATAAATTTCTGAGTGTCAATATATATATTAAATTTGTTTGCAGGTGCAGGCGGGGCATATTTAAGGCCCTTATCAAGGACCAATAATTCTTCTTTGGTCAAAGTGAGTCCACTGACATTAAACACCCCTCCCCCACTACTCTCTTTTTCTTTTGTTTTTGGTAGCCTGCCCTGCATCCCCTCCTCTTCCTGGACTCCTCCATCCTTCTCTCGGAGGACTCCTCTCCCCCAGGTCCCTTTCTAAAAAAATCTCCTTGAGGGTAATCAGGCCTCAATGGATCAAACCTATTATAAATGGGAATGGGACTTCTCTCCTCATATCTCTGGTAATCCCACCTTCCATCCTGATATTGTCTATCATATCCATGTCCATTAGGCATTTTAGGATAATACGGTCTGGGTGGGGGATATTGATTAGGTGCTGGGTAATAATTTGGTCTATAATTCTGAAAATATGGTCTTTGATTAAACATAGGACCCTTCCTTTGCGGTTTCCTATATCCCATATTTCCATTTTTTGGTTTCCATCCATTTTTTGGTGTACGATGTGTTTGTGAGTAATAATTATTCCCCATCTGATTAGGTCCTTTAAAATTTTCCTTAGGAGCAGGTGCATTATTTTTGTCCACTCCCTCTTTACTCTTAACCGGAGAGTAGTATTTGTTAAAGCTGTCTCAACTTCATTTAAAGAAGACTGCCACTTAAAAATTTGGTTTTTCTTCATATCATTCAGATCTCGTTGATATTTTTTTGACTTCCTATATTTGATTTCCTGATCTACTTTATCCAGATCCTTATGTACACGTTTAGTCAGATTTTGCATTTCTATAGTTTCTTTTAATGGTTTGATTATATTCTTAATTTCACCAATCTGGTTATCTAAACCCCTCAGTTTTTTCTGTTTTCTTTTTAGGAGGAACATAATCAGTTCCCTTTTCGTGGAAGAAATTGAACCATTCCTCTATTCCCTCTGGATCTGTTAACCACTTGCCTACCAGGCACTTATACCCCCTTATTTACCTGGCCAATTTTCAGCTTTCAGCGCTGCCGCACTTTGATTGACAATTGCGCGGTCATGCAACATTGTACCCATATGAAATTTTGATCATTTTTTTCTCACAAATAGAGCTTTCTTTTGGTGGTATTTAATCGCCACCGGGCGCTTTACTTTTTGCGCTATAAATAAAAAAAGTGCAAAAAATTAAAAAAAAAAAGTTTCTTTGTTTCTATTATAAAATTTTTCAAACAGGTATTTTTTCTCCTTCACTGATGTGCGTTGATGAGGCAGCACTGATGGGCACTGATAGGCGGCACTGATGGGCACTGATAGGCAGCACTAAGGGGCACTGATAGGCAGCACTAATGAGGCGTCACGGATAGGCGGCACTAGCACTAATATGCAGCACTGATAGGCGACACTGATAGGTGACACTGATGATGGGTACTGATAGACGGCACTGACTGGCATCACTGCTGGGCACTGACTGGCGGCACTGACTGGCACAACCCCTGGGCACTGACTGGTGGCACTGACTGGTGGCACTGACGGGCAGCACTGGTGGGCGGCACTGGTGGGGTGGGCACTGGTGGGTGGGCACAGGTGGGTGGCACTGGTGGGCACAGGTGGGTGGCACTGCTGGGCACAGGTGGGTGGCACTGCTGGGGCGCAGGTGTGTGACACTGCAGAGTGGCACAGGTGGGTGCACTGCTGGGCACAGGTGGGTGCACTGCTGGGCACAGGTGGGCGGAGCTAGTGGGGCGCACTGCTGGGCACAGGTGGGCGGAACTTGCGGGTGGCACTGCTGGGCACTGATCATCAGGGCACTGATCATCAATGCCCTGATGATCGGTGCCGATCCCCGCTCTGACAACTGCCGGTTCTCGGCAGTACTTTCCTCACGATCTGACAGCGTGAGGAAAGTGCAGCCGAGAACCGGCACTTGCATTTCCCTCTGATCAGCGTGTCATTGGACACCGCTGATCACGTGGTAAAAGGCTGCTGTGATTGGCCTTTTACCACATCACGTGATCAGCTGTGTCCGTAGGACACAGCGATCACGGAGATCGCCGGGTGCGCGCCCCCTGGGGGCGCACAGGAGAGCGCGTTCTGGGAGGACGTCATATGACGTCCACTCAGAACTGGCCGGCCGCAGTGCAGCCGTCATTCGGCTATCTGCGGTCGGCAGGTAGTTAATCCATCACAGATGGGTACATCCCACCTTAAGCTCCTCGGCACTAATTTATCTTTAAGGTATTTCTCATATGTGATGATATCCCACCATACTGACACTTTCTTCTCAATCAAATGTCCTAATTTCCTATAATGCGACTCAAGATCGCCCATAAGGTCCCCCTTGGGGTTGGTTAAAAACCTCTTCAATAGGTCCCCCCTTGGGGTGATATGTTGGTTAAAAACCTCTTCAATACAAATTGAAATACGTGCCAGATATACTACAAATAAATAGAATCCTAAAAAATAAATAAAATAAATGTATAATATTCCTTCATAAATAATAATGAAAGACAGATAAGATTAGTGCCAAACTAAAATCTAATACCCACTTCATTTATAATGCAAATAGTGAGTGCCTAATCATAAACATAAGAGTGTATATAGTGCACACACCCCTATAACAAACAAGAAAAATCAAAAAAAGCTATATCCAGTAAAAAAAAAACTATACAATATAATTCACAGTGCTCACACAATGCAAAATAAAACAGTGTCCTCTCTGTTGAAAAAAGCACTCTTAGCAATGTACTTTTGTGGAAAACAATATAATCATGCAGTGTGAAATGGTGATACATCCGTGATTGTGTCAAAAAACACTCTTCTCCTAATAACGGCTAGATTGCCTCCTCACCTCCTCCCAATGACCCCAAAGGGCCAACAGGCTTGCAGGATCTCCCTGGATCCTTAGTTTATAATGACCAGCAGCTTCCTTCCTTTACTGGGTCTCCTTATTGGGGCTCCTATTGCCCCTGATCAGCCAAGATGGTTTCTGAAGAGTAATAGCTCACCAGTCCAGTGAGCCAAGAAGAAAAACTCTAAGTGCAGTACTTCAAACCACTTTTGTTTATTAAAAAAAGTTAAGAGTAACACTCACATTCTAAGCAGTCCTCCCTCCTCACTGATGTGTGGGTACACTGCATGTGAATGGGACTTCCTGGGTGTAGCAAAATGGCGTCGCACGCCGGAAGTGCGTCACCATGCACCAGAACTACGGACCCGCGAACCTACGCGTTACGTCACCGTCTGCTCGTGACTTCCTTGGGGTATTGCATTACGAGCGCAGTCCCTCCCTTTATACCGGACCTAATGGTTAGCCTCAGTAGCGGCCCGCCCCACATGTATTTCAGCGGTACCTGCGCCTTTTTCTTGGAGGCATCTCCCATTCTAACCGCGGCCATTTTTTTGGTGCCTTTTCTCTTTTAACATGTCATTAATTATGGCATAAAAATGAATAGGGAGATCTCTCTAAATCCACGGAAACACAACAAAAAAAGCCACACTATAGGAGTCATTACCTAAAAAAATCGGGGAATCCTAGAGCGTAAAGCTAATTATTTATATAATAAAAAAATTAGAGATGAGCGAATCGAACATGGCGAAGTGGAATTCGTTTTGAATATTGGGAAATATTCGATTCGCGCCGAATCCGAAAATTAGCCAACTTCGGATGCACGAATCGAATTTTCCCAAAAAATGGCGGCGACATGTGTGGCGACAGAGCGAGGGGGGGATCTCTGGAAGGCGCGCAGACAAGGTGCGCTGACCCATAATGCATTCATTCATGACATGTGATCGCATTAGCCAATCAGCAGCCAGCCAGCCAGCACTGTGTAATGGTGGAGCTATAAATTGCGGCCATCTTACAATTCTCCATTAGCCTCCGGTCATTCAAGAGAGACAGACCTGTCTGTATTAGGGACAGAGTTAGGGCCAGAGAGACTTTAGGGCCACAGAATTGTTACTTAGGGACACAGAATCGTTACTTAGGGACACAGAATCGTTACTCAGGGACACAGAATTGTTACTGAGGGACACAGAATTGTTACTCAGGGACAGACACAGAATTGTTACTGAGGGACAGACACAGAATTGTTACTGAGGGACACAGAATTGTTACTGAGGGACACAGAATTGTTACTGAGGGACACAGAATTGTTACTCAGGGACACAGAATTGTTTACTCAGGGACAGACACAGAATTGTTACTCAGGGACACAGAATTGTTACTCAGGGACACAGAATTGTTACTCAGGGACAGACACAGAATTGTTACTCAGGGACAGACACAGAATTGTTACTCAGGGACACAGAATTGTTACTCAGGGACAGACACAGAATTGTTACTCAGGGACACAGAAATTGTTACTCAGGGACACAGAATTGTTACTCAGGGACACAGAATTGTTACTCAGGGACACAGAATTGTTACTGAGGGACACAGAATTGTTACTGAGGGACAGACACAGAATTGTTACTCAGGGACAGACACAGAATTGTTACTCAGGGACACAGAATTGTTACTCAGGGACAACAGAATTGTTACTCAGGGGACACAGAATTGTTACTGAGGGACACAGAATTGTTACTGAGGGACACAGAATTGTTACTCAGGGACACAGAATTGTTACTGAGGGACACAGAATTGTTACTCAGGGACAGACACAGAATTGTTACTCAGGGACACAGAATTGTTACTCAGGGACACAGAATTGTTACTCAGGGACAGACACAGAATTGTTACTCAGGGACAGACACAGAATTGTTACTCAGGAGGGACACAGAATTGTTACTCAGGGACACAGAATTGTTACTCAGGGACACAGAATTGTTACTCAGGGACAGACACAGAATTGTTACTCAGGGACACAGAATTGTTACTCAGGGACACAGAATTGTTACTGAGGGACACAGAATTGTTACTCAGGGGACACACAGAATTGTTACTCAGGGACAGACACAGAATTGTTACTCAGGGACACAGACACAGACACAGAATTGTTACTCAGGGACACAGAATTGTTACTCAGGGACACAGAATTGTTACTCAGGGACAGACACAGAATTGTTACTCAGGGACACAGAATTGTTACTCAGGGACAGACACAGAATTGTTACTCAGGGACACAGAACACACAGAATTGTTACTCAGGGGACACAGAATTGTTGTTACTCAGGGACACAGAATTGTTACTCAGGGACACAGAATTGTTACTCAGGGACACACAGAATTGTTACTCAGGGGGACACAGAATTGTTGTTACTCAGGGACACAGAATTGTTACTCAGGGACACAGAATTGTTACTCAGGGACACAGAATTGTTACTCAGGGACAGACACAGAATTGTTACTCAGGGACACAGAATTGTTACTCAGGGACACAGAATTGTTACTCAGGGACACAGAATTGTTACTCAGGGACACAGAATTGTTACTCAGGGACAGACACAGAATTGTTACTCAGGGACACACAGAATTGTTACTCAGGGACACACAGAATTGTTACTCAGGGACACAGAATTGTTACTCAGGGACACAGAAATGTTACTCAGGGACACAGAATTGTTACTCAGGGACACAGAATTGTTACTGAGGGACACAGAATTGTTACTGAGGGACACATTGACTGAGGGACACAGAATTGTTACTCAGGGACACAGAATTGTTACTCAGGGACAGACACAGAATTGTTACTGAGGGACACAGAATTGTTACTCAGGGACACAGAATTGTTGTTACTGAGGGACACAGAATTGTTACTCAGGGACAGACACAGAATTGTTACTCAGGGACACAGAATTGTTACTCAGGGACACAGAATTGTTACTCAGGGACACAGAATTGTTACTCAGGGACAGACACAGAATTGTTACTGAGGGACACAGAATTGTTACTCAGGGGACACAGAATTGTTACTGAGGGACACAGAATTGTTACTCAGGGACAGACACAGAATTGTTACTCAGGGACACAGAATTGTTACTCAGGGACACAGAATTGTTACTCAGGGACACACACAGAATTGTTACTCAGGGACACAGAATTGTTACTGAGAGGGACACAGAATTGTTACTCTGAGGGACACAGAATTGTTACTGAGGGACACAGAATTGTTACTCAGGGACACAGAATTGTTACTCAGGGACACAGAATTGTTACTCAGGGACAGGACACAGAATTGTTACTCAGGGACACAGAATTGTTACTCAGGGACACAGAATTGTTACTCAGGGACACAGAATTGTTACTGAGGGACAGACACAGAATGTTACTCAGGGACAGACACAGAATTGTTACTCAGGGACACAGGAATTGTTACTCAGGGACACAGAATTGTTACTCAGGGACACAGAATTGTTACTCAGGGGACACAGAATTGTTACTCAGGTCAGGGACACAGAATTGTTACTGAGGGACACAGAATTGTTACTCAGGGGACACAGAATTGTTACTCAGGGACAGACACAGAATTGTTACTCAGGGACAGACACAGAATTGTTACTCAGGAGGGACACAGAATTGTTACTCAGGGACACAGAATTGTTACTCAGGGACACAGAATTGTTACTCAGGGACAGACACAGAATTGTTACTCAGGGACACAGAATTGTTACTCAGGGGACACAGAATTGTTACTCAGGGACAGACACAGAATTGTTACTCAGGGGACACAGAATTGTTACTCAGGGACACAGTTACCGGCAATTGTTACTCAGGGACACAGAATTGTTACTGAGGGACACAGAATTCGTTACTCAGGGGACACAGAATTGTTACTCAGGGACACAGAATTGTTACTCAGGACAGACACAGAATTGTTACTCAGGGACACAGAATTGTTACTCAGGGACAGACACAGAATTGTTACTCAGGGACACAGAATTGTTACTCAGGGACACAGAATTGTTACTCAGGGACAGACACAGAATTGTT